ACAATTTTAAAATTGTTCTATATTCACTCGTGATGGAGGAAGCAACACGGAGAAAATGGATAGTTTCCTAGATTGTATGATATGTCGACTGAAGATGATGAACCAGCATTGATGTACAACGTCCTCATAGTGATGTTCGTAGACAATCTTTTGGGACATTACCCTTGATATGGAATGGCTTGTATGTTGTGCTTTGTTCGTCTTCGCATTTACATTGTATCTCTTAAGCCCCGAAGCCCATTTCCTCACTTTTACCACTAATTTTGGTTAGATATAAGTAAACTGGTTATTGCTTTATCTTTTTGTTGTAGATCACACACATCATCTTTTGTTAGTAATGTTACAATATTTGATGCTGAACATATTGTTGAAGGATGGAAGAAGAATTTGATTAAAATGGAAAAAAAAAAAAAAAGTAATAGTGTAGAGGGAATATTCGAATTTCGATTTGGGTTCATAATATCATTCTGAAAAGAGGACGACGATACGAATAAAACTCATCGCTTTGCCATGATGTACGATGAATTTCGGCTATCTGAGTTCGTTTAGGACTCGATAATTGTTTTTTTAAGTTTTAGTGTTATTTTTGTCATTTAGTTTATTTCAAATCTTTTTTTAATTTTTGTCCTATTAAACTAAGTTTTCATGTAACCCTTATAAACAAAGAGTTATCTCATTGTTTTTTATCATCTCACATTAATAAAATTTTCGTGAGTTTATTTTTTATAATTTGGTGGATTCCAAAAATTGCGTTTCTAAGGTTTTCGCTTGAATTCCTTGTTTCGCGATGCGTCAATATTAAATAAGAAAAGAAAGCACAATCTAATATTCTTAACCAGACGTGCCTTAAAGGCTAAAGCTATAATTCAAAGTTAGTTGAACACGTACAGTTGGTGGGGTTGGGGTTTGAAGGGGATGCACAGCTTTGTTCAGAGCAATCCCTCGATCTTTGCTTAACCCTAACTCATACTTCCTGGCTGGAACACTTCACTTAGACTAAACTTTTTTTTCCCTTTATTTCTACAACACATTATTGGAAAGAACATTGCCTCTGAAGAAAGTTACAACTATCATACATTTACTCTATAGGTGAAAAAATGATCTACCATGATGGTGATTTGTGATACTAAGATCTAGCGCGGTTTTAAAAAAAGCGTCATAGAATAAATGGAGCAGAAGTCGTAAAATTGTGACTTACGATCAAAGCAAGTTAGTTCCCAGCGGGTGGTTTCCATCCATATTATTCTCAATTAAGGAGGGCATGGGTGTATATACGTTGGACTAGACAACATTGGTCGACCAGATTTAACGAAGAAAACATAGTAAAATTTTGTTCGCTAGTCCAATCAAGTCACTTTTCTCTACAAATGACTGTTAGAATGTTGTTGTCTTCAATTCAAAATTCATCCAGCCTATTCTTAAATTCCACCAAGTTTTTTGCTTCAAGATACAGAAATTCCATCAGTTATATAACACTGCATAAGTGACTTGTATCACCAGCATTCAACTACCAGTAGGTAGAACACCTCAAATTCTCCAAAACCCTCAACTCTACACACGTTTTTCTTGTTAGAAAACACAAAGTTTTGACATAATATTAGCCCCAAGTATTGCCATTCTTATTCAACATATGCGTGAAACTTGAGAACATTATTTGAGGGAAAATGAGATTTCTTATTACAGCTTTGTTCTTATGTGTACTTCTTTCTTGTGCAGGTAAACTTGTGTTCTTGATCAAACTGATTTTGGATTCTTAATTCTACTTATTTTTGGATTTAAATTTTTACTACTTATTTATTTTTTGGTTGCTGCAGCTTCCTATGATCCTTTGGATCCAAATGGGAACATAACAATCAAATGGGATATAATGTCATGGACACCAGATGGTTATGTGGTAAGTACTGAAATATGTATACAAATCCTTCTGAACCTTCAGAATTCCCAATAGAAAGAGAATAAGGCGAACATGTAAAATGGCCTCCATTTAAATTTTTTGTAAAAATGGCGTTCATTTACTTAAAAAAATTACAGAAATGTTCATGATATATGTTTTCCTAGGCTGTTGTGACGATGAACAATTTCCAAATGTACCGGCACGTCATGAGTCCTGGCTGGACACTGGGCTGGACATGGGCTAAGAAAGAAGTAATATGGTCCATGGTTGGAGCACAGACCACAGAACAAGGGGACTGTTCCAAGTTCAAAAGTAACATACCACATTGTTGCAAAAAGACTCCGACTGTGGTGGACTTGCTCCCTGGAGTTCCTTACAATCAGCAATTCAGCAACTGCTGCAAAGGTGGAGTCATGTCGTCGTGGGGCCAAGATCCACAGGCTTCCATCTCGGCCTTCCAAGTTAGTGTTGGCCAAGCCGGTACCTCGAACAAGACTGTAAAGCTTCCCAAGAACTTCACCTTGTTAGGTCCTGGACCAGGCTACACTTGTGGTCCTGCCAAAGTTGTGCCTTCAACCAATTTCCTCACACCTGATCGGCGCAGAAAGACTCAGGCCCTGAGTAAGTCTCGTTTCTTTATATACTGACATGTTTGGTACACAGTATTAGACATGACTAGATGTTATAATATAGGGTTGAAAAGCAATGTTAGTCCACCAGCAGTGTTCCACTTTGGTCACCGAACATTTTCTTTGCTCAAAATTAGTCACTGAACTTCATTTTCGTTTCACTTAGGACATTGCTGAATCACCATCTCTGTAAAAATTGCGTCTTGTTGGATTAGTTGAGCTTGCAAATTGCATTTTTCCAACGAAATAACAGAAAAATATTAACAAATTTTGCCAAGCTGCACGATAAAAACAATGCATAAACATTTTCCATTCTATGTTATATTTTTAGTTAGTAAAATCAACATTTCTCTTAATCAAATAGATTTGAGTACCTCACCAGAAACCAAAATGAAAGTTCATCAACTCATTTTGAACAAAAAAAAGTTTAGTAACCAAAGTGAAGCAACGCAATAAGTTAGGTGACTAACAGTATCCCTATAATATACAAAATTTAGCTTATTTTTCTTCTTTAACATTGTTTCAATCATTCTTCGAAGATTTCAGATTTTCTTGATTGAGCTAATACATGAATTCAATGCAGTGACATGGAATGTGACATGTACATATTCGCAGTTTCTAGCCCGGAAGCACCCCAGCTGTTGTGTCTCATTTTCATCGTTCTACAACGAAACAATCACTTCTTGCCCTTCTTGTGCTTGTGGCTGCGAAAACAAAAACAAATGCATCAAGTAAGCAACTATTTTTATTTATCATATTAATTTTTATATATTTTTTCATGTAAAATGAGTCGAATAACTTGTTATTATGTATTCAGGAGCGACTCAAAACTTCTTAGTATGGTCGGGATAAACACTCCGAGAAAAGATAACACACCTCTTTTGCAGTGCACGCACCATATGTGCCCAATCCGGGTGCACTGGCACGTTAAGGTCAATTACAAGGACTACTGGCGGGTGAAGATAGCGATAACTAATTTTAATTATAGAATGAACTACACACAATGGACCCTTGTTGTACAGCATCCAAATCTGAACAACGTGACTCAAGTTTTCAGCTTCGATTACAAGCCTCTGGTTCCCTACGCATCCATCAGTAAGTTAATAAACTCGTCTGAGAAATATTTGGTAAAACAATACATGAACGTGCGCTAAAAACGTAAAAATCTGATATGTGCAGACGACACCGGAATGTTTTATGGCATGAAATTCTACAATGACCTGATGATGGAAGCTGGGCCATCTGGGAACGTACAGTCGGAAGTTCTTATGCAGAAGGACCAGAACACCTTCTCTCTCAAGCAAGGATGGGCATTCCCCCGGAAAGTATATTTCAACGGTGAAGAATGCATGCTGCCACCACCGGATACATATCCGTTTCTACCAAATTCTGCTCATCCAAGTCGAGTTTCTATCTCAACATTGTTATGTTTTTTACTTCTGTTTGCCGTTGTAATGTGGTGATGAATTTCCAAGTTTTGATAGCAATGGAAATTTTGAAAACAAAGAACTGAGGTACTCGATGATTCAATGATTATATATCCAAGCAACATCTCAAATTTGAATCTGTTTACCATGATGTATTCACAGAATGTAGCATTTGTCAAATTGCCCTTGTTCTACATGTTTGCAGACACCTACAATATAGGACAGTTTACCTTGGGGTGGGGTGGGGGGGGGGTACGGAAGCTTAATCAGGCACTCCCTCAGTGTGCTTCAATTAGGCAAGATGCTTAACCTCATCTAAGGCAGCTGCACAGGCTAAAAAGTCAGTAGGCTTTGTATAAAGAAGTGAGCGAATGTTGATGCTTAGTCAGAGAGTCATTAGAATTAACTTTCACAGCTCTAGTAATACTACAAACTCAAAAATCTATGAACAATGTGATATAAAGTAGTAGCAAATCATGTTATACAAGTAGAAGAAAAAATTGGAAGTGACTTTACTAACACTTAATGGTAAGTAGGAACATTCAAAGTATGTTCGGTAAGAGGACTAGACAATATTGAAGAGAGGATTTTAGCTTCATTTTACTTTTCCAATACTGTACAATTCAGCTTAAGAAATGACCAATGTTCAAATTTGTGCACCTGAAACTATATGAAAAATGTAATACGGTGTTGGTCAGGCATATAAATTCTTCAATCCCTTCATAGCCTGCCCACATTTCACTACACCCAGGATCCAATGCAGCACGTCTCCAATCAGATGCCTCATCCAATGTGTATTCGTATGCATGCCAAGTTTTTATGCTAGCTAACAAACAACGTAGAATTAGAAGCTGAGTTGACATAGACATAATCCTCGTAAACAATCTTTTCAAGCTACTTCTATTTATGTTGTGAATTCCAAATTGAAAGTCTGCTCTAGATGAGATCAGTCCTACGGCTTTTTTATAAGAGAGACAAAGGGCTTCCCAATTGGAAATGAAAGTAAAAACTTTCTGTTCACAGATATTTCATCTTACATCTTAACAAACTTTAACCTCTAACTGGTTTTTCCAGGACAGCAGAAAGAAAGAGTTCGTCATCTAATTTATCCATCTTCGGCATAACTTTCCACAATAGCCTTTTGTACCCGATTCTGTCAAATTCATCTACATACATTTTCATGTTTTCTTTCTTGCAAAAGAAACGATCAACGTAAAGAAGTCCCTTGGGTCGAAGAACTCGATCCCAGTCGAGCAAAACAAACTGAAGAAGTTCTATCCCAATCCATCCATCCAAGAAGAGAGTAGAATGAACAATATCCAAGGTATTGTCAAAGAAAGGTAATCTTGAGCCAATTGATATGTATAATGGCAAGAGGCCTCTTGATGCAATCACTTCACTAAAAGGGGCCCCTAAATTCATCGTAGCAGAAGCAATGGTGACATTTTTTTCCTTCATTAGTGCAGCAAAAGTACCAGCTGTGGGACTAAAATCCAGGCCAATTCGAATTTCCCCGGGTTTTAACATCAGGATTTCATCGATGGAGAATTCTGCTGAAATGTCTTTGTCCCTTTGACCATCCCATCCTCGTTTAGTAAGATCAAAGCAGTCGGAGCATTTATAAAACCCTCTGTTGTTTATCGTTCCATTGGATACAAGACACCGGTAGTTCTTGCATTTATAACGGCTCCAGGAAATGTCAACATCCCGAGGTTGAGTCCAGAGAGAGGCGTTTAATGGACATGGCTTATCATATCGCAGTGGTGTCCTTGTAAAACACCTCCTTCTAGGTAATGGATCACAACCACTGATCATAAGCTTCTGAGCCAAGTCCCAATCATCGGGGCAAATATCATATGCCTTGTAAGTCATGAAACGGTCTAGGGTAGAGGCCAGTCGAGCACAACCTTGTCCAATAGATGGATAAACTGATTCCAAGCCAAGAAAATTCTTTTTCCCACGAGGCTTGTTTGGTTTAGGCGAAGTGTAGTTTTGAAGCTCTGCAGAGTTAAAGACCTTGCCATGTAGCGATTCTTCTTCGACTTCATCTTCCTCAGTCGTGCTCGAATATTCATCCACTTTAGTTATGTCCTTTCCATCAGCCGGGACATTGCTGTAATGACGAGAGAGACTTTCAGCAAGCCTGTCCAATGACACGGCGATTTGAAGTACTTGATCTGAAAATTTCACCAGAATTTTTGATTCAGACCTCTCAGTATGTAACTGCTCTAACAGAATTCCAAACTGGGATTGCATATAAGAGATCTGATTTTTGATGTAACGAGGAAAAACAATTCGGTCATTGGATTCAGTGCCAAAAGAAGTGAAGACGAAGTCCGAGTACGATATATGAGAAGTGTAGACGATCAATACAAAAAGACTAGAAAAGAGAACAAAACATAGTATCGTTCGAAGGCCTCCAGGAATACATTTGGGAGGCCTAAGAATGCTCTGTTTCCGCATTTTTTTTGATGGGTTTCTGTGTGTTGCATTCTCCATAATACATGAACATGTAGCTTAAATTTCTTGTAATGTTTGACTCTGAAAGTGAGATGGGGTGTCTTTACTCATACTCCACTGCCAGCACTTGGATCTCTATACTTCTACATGTTTTTATTGCCCCTAGATTTGTAGTTTAATTTTTTAATCTTCTCGACTTGAGGTTTTTAAAACCCCTAGCAGGAAATTATTTGGATAAAATATGAATTTTGCCTTTTATTAATGTTTGTTGCTAGGCCGATTTGCCCTTCTTTGGTTCTTCCTTTGTTTTATGTCTCTGATGTTACAAGTAGAGTCCTACACGTCCCAGTTGTAGAGGTAGTACGATTAGGGGTGGCAAAAGGACCGAGTAGCTCGTCAGTTCGACTTGTCAAAACTCGACCCATGGACGGCTCGGGCTCATTTTGAGATGAGCACGAGCCCGAGCCCGAGCCCGAGCCCGGGGTTGGCCTGATGAGTCTAGCAAGGCTCAGCTCGGCTCGTCGAGCTCGTGAACGGCCTACAAGCCTCAAGTTCACAAGCTCGTGGGCTTGGCTCGTGAGCTCACGAGCTTGTGGAGCAGAGCACAAGGGCGAGCTCGACCCATTGCCACCACTACGTACGATTTTCTGTCTCTGATGTTTCCAGTAGAGTCCTGCACGTCCCAGCTGTAGAGGTCGTACGGCACAGGCCGGCAGCCATGACACATTTTGACGTCTAGTTCTACTCGTGTCATATAGTTCGCATCTATTTTAACATCCTTGCTTCTGCTACCTTTCTATATTAAAGGATAACTAAAATGTATTAAACATGCTCTCTAATGACAGATGGAACCCCAATCTTCATTCCGAAGAAAATGTTGGCAGGAAAATAAAAATAACAACATATTAATCTCATTCAAAAACAGCAAAGAGAAGGCCCGGCTCAATTTAAACATATTAGAGGAACCAAATCCTTAACTATTTCAAGGATTTCACAAAAATTGTCGACGAGAAAGCACTAAATAGTTTGTTTGATAAAGGGGACAAGAGGTTGTTAATGAATAAATAAGAAGCTAAAATCTTATCCTATATGATTTTCCAGTCCCGTCTAGTAGCATGCCCTTGAAGTTCCGCTAATTAAAAGGTTATTCTGAAATCTTATCACAAGTAACAGCTTGAGCCTCATCTTCATCATTATCATTGTCCTCGATATCCCCAGCAAACTCTTCATGTTCCTCCAATGATGCTTCAGCAGCCTCACCGTTGTCATTGGCTTGTGATTTCTTTGAGATGCGAGGATTTCGTTTGTCCATCTGTTGCATGGACAGCAATTAAGCACGATTCCAGAGTAAAGAAAATCACATCGTTGGAAGAAAGTTGCAGATTAGCAACACGAGGTAACAGTAAGCAAGCAATGAGAGGTAGCGTATAAATGTTCAACTAATGTGTTAAATAATATTTAAACTTTCCCCGTGTTTATGACCAGCTTTTACATTCCGCCATTGATCTTCCTCTCCTCCTTTGCTCTTCTTCTCCCCCTCCCTCTCTTGTTAACAGTTAAATGTCCTACAATTTTTCTATTTTGTCTTGTATCAATCTGTTTGGCCTCACCAAAAAAGAAATCAACTACATCAAAATAAAATATCATGTAATATAGACTAATAAAAGTAGCTTTTCCAACTACAGCCTCACTCATGTTTCATCCTCTGAAAATTCACAGATTTGCACATCCCCAATCTCATGTTGTTTTTCATCTCTTCTTCACCATCCACATGCCCCTAGCCCCCCTACAAACATTCATATGCACTACCCCCTTTTTTCAATAGATTCTCTCTTTTATATCCACCCATGTCGTACTTCATTATATGATACAATAGAAATCCATTAGACATCGTCATCTACATCTAGAAAGCTATGGAAGAAGCTAAAAATTAGGGGTGTCCAAAAGTCCCGAACCGAACCGAGCGGTTCTTCATAAATTAAATACCCGAACGGGTACCCGAATAGATAACCGATGGGTTTGGGTTGGGTCTCGGGTCTAGACCAAGAACCGAAGAATCGAATAAGAACCGAAACTAAATAATTTTTTTATTTTTTATATTGAATTAATTAAATTATTTTATTTTTTTTAAAACAACTTANTTTGTAAAAGTTACGAATGAAATGTCATTAGTTGTATTTATATAGTGTTGCTGTAAATATTAAAAAATTTAATTATAGTACGGAACCGAACTGAACCGAACCGAACCCAAACGGTTCCATAATTATATTTGGATCCGATGGTTCCATTTGTTAAAGTGCATTGCATTCACCAAATTTTCTCTCTCTCTCAATCTAGCATTTTCTACTACTTGAATTTTATCCCCGCTTAAAGTAGGCACTGTTTAACCTTTTCGAGAATATTTTACAAATGAATTTAATTGAATTTTTAATCAACGGGAGTTTTCTTGGAGTTGAAGGGAGAATGAAAATGAGGAAATACTACTTCAATGGAACGGGGATAACTAATTTCAGGTGACACCGAATGGATGCTAGTGGTGGTGCACTGGTGTGTCAATACTATATAGCAGAGGCTAGCCATCCTGAGTCTTCCCATACCATCATGTCATGTGGCTTATATTCTTAAAGTAGCATTTAGTCTGAATGATTATGAACTCATGTCGATACTTCCACATATTGTCAATAAGTCTTTTAGAAGATGGTGTTACATAGTCGAGATGTTCAGCGATCGTGATCACTAGCTTGATAGGAATCAGCGGTTTGAGGGTGGTAGAGACCACATAGCAACTATTAGGATCTTGTTAGTAGAGACGGTTGCCATCCATTTTCCTTGTGAGTCTGATGTTCACATGGGTTATGCCGTGGCATGGGGGTTGAGATGCCTGTTTAAAATTTATTTGCAGTGACAGACATATAGCAAGCAGGGGCGAAAGAAGTGTTAGTAATAGTTCATTTTATTTTACTTTTTTTTTTTCTATTCTTATCTATCAAAACTTCTTCTCAGACAATGCTTCTTCCAAAACATCTCTCTTGATGTACATGATGAAATTTACTAACAAACATTTACATTCAGCTACATCCCATATTATTAATTAATTTCTGTTGGTCCCCCGTAGTACGAAAATCCCCACAGACAAAAATCACCACCAAGAAAGAAAAATTTAAAATACAAAAGAATCAAAATTTCACCAAGTTAAAGAGATATGCAGACTTACAGTGCGCAGCAAAGTCCTCCTGTCCCTCTCCCGTGCATTCTTGATAGCCTGTGACCAATCAGCAATTCAACAAGTTTTCAACTCAATTTACAACAAACAATTGCATAAATCCTTTATCAAAAGCCAAAGTAAAGGGAAAAGGAAGAAAGGCACTCATATATTAGAAATATAGTAACCTCCTCAAGTTTCTTCTGCTCAGCTTCTATTTCTGAAATATCTCTGCAAGAAAAGCAAATACCCGCAAACAGAATAACATTGATTTAGTACTTCAAATCAATATACTCATAATTCAATTCAATTCAATTCAATCTTGTTTTTCTTGATGGATTTAGATTGATCTTGACACTAAGCCCAATCAAAATCAGAACACACAAAAAAAATGGTTATACCTTCCAACAATGTTGCCAACACGACATGAGCACTTGGCACATATTCTATGCTCCTTTGCACAGCCTATTTATAACATTCATTCAAATTTAAATCAAAATTTTCTCAAGTAATAATTAATGAACATTCAAGAAATTTAGAGTTTGATTACTAACCATTGCAGAGATTGTGGTAAGCTTGGCGAACATTCCTCTTGGAACACCGTTGGCTACCAATAATCCAAATTTTTTCAAAAAAAAAAAATAACGTGCGCAGCATAAAAATAGAAATATACAATTAATTTATCATATCCCATGAATCCCAAAAAAAAAAAAAATGGTACGATACCATTTGGCGGGTTCAGCAAGGGGCTTGTATTTTCCGTATTTCCGTTTCCATTCAATCTGTTCTTTACATCGCAGGCATACCCCCGTTACTTCTGAATAGGGCCTCAATTTCCCCCCTACTTCCTGTCATCAATCAATCAGAACCCATTAGCGGTCCGTTCTCAAGTCGAGTAGTAAAGGGTCGGAGAAGGAAATTGACTCAGCGTTCTTAATACGAAAGAGTCGAAAATCATTCAATACAGAGAATTATTTTAGTAAAAATGAAATTTTGAGGAGATTTTGAATACAGTTGGGTTGATCTTGCGGGAACCGTTGGGTTTCCAGGCGAACTCGTTTTGGTGCTTGGGCGGACCTTTCCTGCTGCCGCTGCTCATCTTTACGCGCATCACTCTTCCATAACCTAACTCTTCTAATTTATATATTTGCCCCACATTTCTTTATAATTAAATCACAATTTTATAAAGATTCTATCTTTTATTCATTGTACAATACAATTCATATTCTAACTTTTTCATCACATTCTTATATTTAATATTCTAACAAATTTTATCCTTAATGATTATTTCCGTCCGAACATTTTGTTAGCACACTATAAAGCGAGGGCAAGCTTTCTTTATTTTTTTCTTGTTTAAAAGTACGAACGTAAAATAAATTTTTATTCTCTCCTAATTGAATGTTTTGACAGAATTCGACGATTCGTCATTAAAAAAATAAAAAATAAAAAGACACGTTAACTAATTAAAGGTTAAAAATAAGAATGAAATGACAAAAAAAAAAAATATTAGTGTGACATAGTAATGGTCATGGCCCGTTCATACAAGTAAAAAAATATGGTAGAATCAGACTACAAGTTGAGCTAAAAATAAAAATACACAATAAAATTACAAGAAAAATATTTTTTTATTAAAAAAAATTAACAAGCCATAGACTAAACCGGGCTACAGCGCAGTCGAACCTCCCCTAAATCTATCCCGATGGTACGTTAATAAGAATTTGTGGTATAAATATATCTACAGTAAAACCTCCTTCAGAAAAAAAAATCTCATTACGAATATTATTGCACATTTCGTACAAGTAAAAACTATTCTTCCCCAAGAACTTTTTCTGTTTTTCTCCGGGTACCAAATGTTTTTTAATTCACAGTTTGTGTTTTCTAATTTAATTCAACATTTAAAAATAATATTTTGAAAATTAGAATAATTTAAATTATCTTTTCATCTATGGTATGTTAAAAACCTTATTCTCCGCTTTGCATCTCTTTATTCGACACCTATACGAACGAATCATCATCCCATCCTATATTGCTTGCTTGGTCGTCGTCTTCTTCCAATTTTTGTCCTTTTTATCTATTTTACCCATGGTATACTAGATCAAGAATCCATCCATGCGTAATGTACATTCTTAAATAGTGAAACACAACTGTCCAACCAAATCCCAAAATTTACTGCCAATATAAAATCACCTGTCCCTAAAAACAAAAGACAAACTCATCGACAGGATTTTAAAAACTGGACACATAACGCAACATCATTGGACAGTTCGAATTGAGTAGCATTATTCAAGAAAAAAACTATTACATCCATGTAACACGATCAGAACTGAAAAGAATGCGCCTCATAGCCTCTATGGCCAAAATTTTCAAGATATATGAGTTAAATAGTGTTTAGTTTCCACAAAAATCATGATTCCTCTTAACACGTGCTGAAATGAGTTGGTCTTGTTCCAAGATTAACCACTGGCCAATGCTAGACAATCCAGGACGAGTAGCATTCTGAACTAGAGCCGTCTGTCATCAACATTTGCTAATTTAGAAAACAAACTCTCAGTGACTCGCCAGCCCCCGCGTTGCCTGAATGCCATCTTCACCTATCTTGTTAGCTTGAATGGTGCTTATCACATTTGCAATGTTACCCTGGGAAGATATCCGTGGAGGATATTTAAATCAATTTCTTGAATATGTTATCCATGAAAGAGACAAGATCATCTTAATCATTTATCCACCGGGCATCACAAGAAGCTCATGTTCATATGCCAATGGATGGTTCATGTCATAGGACAAAGGAGTGTATACTTAGGCATACAAATGACTATTCCGTTCACACAAGCACGTTTGGCTTAACTTCGAGGGAAAAAAGCCAAAAAAAAAAAAGAAGAAAGAAAAAAAAAACAACACTTTCAAGTTACTTTTTATTTATAAATATGTCAGGATTTATCAACTTTTCTCTTACTTTATAAGTAAAAGGGCAACTTATCTTTAAAGGAACTCTTAAGATTACTATAAAAAATAAGCGACTTATTTTTCACTTTGACTAATTAAAAAAACTATTCATTATTAAACTTACTTATTTACGTATAATTAAACTTGCTTCTATAAGTAAATTTTTAAGCTCAGCTAAACATGCATCATGAATAAATTAATCCATTACCCTCCAACTTGCAAGTTTCACTCGAAGGGCCTGCCATTGATGCTGCCCGAACCTGCGCTCTATACAACGGCTGCACCCAAAATAGTAAAATCAACTCATGTATTATAAGCATGCAACGCACTCTACTTGTAAGAAACAAAGGAGGGGGGGGGGCTATTGCGCACCTTACGAGAACTACTTGGTTCATTTGATCAATTTTACAATCCATTAACTTAGCCGTGATTGCCTTAACAACCCATAGTTCCACCTCATTGTCTTCAATCTGCAAAAAACCAAAGGGCAATGTAAGGAAACATGCATTGTTTAAAGCACTATTTGAGGTTTATCCTCTAATCCAGCCTCACATGAGGCTTCCATAAAACACCTTGAATCCAGCACCTTAACTGTCGTTTGTGAGGCTTACGCCTCAAGTTAACTCAAAAGCCCTGCATGTTTGCCTAATGTTATTCAACTACTAGCCTCAGCTTTTTGGGTTGTTTGTTTACAACCTAAAATGTTTTACAGGTTCTTTCATTTTTTTTTTCTGCTTATACAGAAAGGACAGATGAGAATACACCATTATAAGTGGAGGATAGAAGAAACTAAGCCCCCATTTGAGCCCCATTAAATTAAATTGCATTACATTAATTTTTTCTCTCTCTTCATTTCAACCACACATTCATCAAATAAAATAAGATTACACACAAATCTAAAACTTTTCAACCACACATTCTACTATCAATCACTATTTTAAAAATTTTCAACCTCCAAAAATGGGGGCCAAACAAGGGCTAATAGCGATGAAGAGGAGAGGCTGACTGTTCCCTTAAAGATCGTGTTAGTAGTGATAATATGATATTTTTAAGCCTTCTCTTCGATACAATTTCAGTCAAAATCAAGCATTAATTTCAAATCCACATTCATAACTACTGCACATTATTATCAACACATTTCGTACGACCCGCTATTGTTCCTTTTAACTATTCCTATTTATATACCATTTATAAATTTTTCAAACGAAGGCTAAGTTATTTACACTTCTAATAGTAGATTATAATTTAGCTAGGTGATTACTAATTTAAGAACTTATTACTTTATTAATCTATTTATATCTGTTTGCAAGTTAAAACATCTATGTTTGTTCATTTGTTTTACTACTGGTTATTTTAAAATAGTTATAGCTCGTTATGAAATGATTTTTTTGTATTTTTATATTTTTACGAATAATTTTATTGGTTTGCCTTGAGGCTTACGCCTAAAAGAGCCTCTTGCCTCAGAGGTAAAATACCTCGTTACCCAATTAAGCCTTTATAAAAATGGAAACAGGTAATAAGGAAAGGCCACTTAAAAGAATAAAAATACAAAATAAAATTACCTGGAGTGTGTCCCTTATCAAAGAATAAGGGATTTTAGATTCATTTTTGCCCAGATCTACAAGTGACATCAGCCTCATCTTCTCGATGCAGTCTTCATGGACAAGCCCTGCATGATCCAGTACAGCGATGTCCAGCAAGTAAATTAAACCATATCAATCTTAACTCATCCAATAACCAATATTTCATACATCTCAAAAGCAAATGGTTACCATAGCTCTCTAGCAAAGTAGAATTAGCTGTATGGAATTCAAAGTATGCGTCAAGCCTCTGAGTCAAAAAGATACTTAGAAGCTGATACACCTGTGCATATTTAGCATCTTTCTCCAGTTGTCCTACAGCAGGCATATCTAGCAAATCACACTGGCATACAAACACAGAATTAAAGAGGAAGAGAAAGATGGGTCAAGAAACAAAAGCTATATGAGAGCAAGGTACAATAATGACATGGTGCTGGATAATTGAGAGTCATTATAACAGAGAATAATTAAAGAGGCAGAGGAAGAGAAAGAAGGGGCGAGAAACAATAAGCCATATGACAGCAACATGTTACTGTATACTTAACGAGTCATTATAACAGTAGAAACAACATATAATGCACAGTGGATGTAAAACATCTCAAGGCCTATAAATTAAAACCCAAATCATTAACCAAGTGGCACAAGCCTACTTGATAAATAACTTTTAAAATTTAGAAACAAAGACATGCACATGTCAACAGTAAAGCAGATATTAAGAAAGGTTGCCTTTATGCTAAATTTTTTTTTTTATTATTTACTATTTCAATGTGAAAATTCCAAGTTCTTATTGGTGTGAAATTATCATGTGTCCATGAGATGAAAATAAAAATAGATAAACCATTCTATTGTTATCTTTCGTAATAAGAAAGGAAGAGCAAACTAAATCCTAGGGGTCCTAAGAGATAAGATGTACTCAAAAGGGTCATTTTGTTCATTGAGACTAGGAAAATTATCCAGAGAGAAAACTATAAGATCTAATATAGAATTATATAGTGCTGGTTTCCCACTTTAATGACCTTTTCTTAAATCAAATTATTGAATAGAAAAGGGAGTAGCCCAATCAAAAGGGATAGAAATTGCCATGCCAATTACGTGCCCGATAAATCAGTTTGGGGGTGGGGGGGTGGGAGCACAGCATTATCTAGTATTTCGGCATGTATTATTATGAACATGCACACTAGTCTGTTCACCAATTCTCCTCAATTATGGTGGCTCTCAAACTCCTCAACTTCACGATGACAACTTGATAATACAACCAAGTTGACAGATATGAAGTCTAATGGTCTTTGTATGAATATTAATAGCATCAAAACTGATGCACATTCATGATGAGGAAGAATCGAGCAGTTCCATCGAACTAGTTCAATGAGGTGCTTGCATATGATTTTCAGTACATAGATGATCAAGTAAGATAAGCTTCAATTAGTTCAATAAAGTGCTAAAATATGATTTTCAGGACAGGGATGCTCAAATAAATAAGCTGTCTTTAAAGGGCATTCAGCACACAAAACATTTGAGAAGCAGAAAGGCACTTCAGTTTTAAATCTATATCAGGGCAGAATACCAGGGCAAATTC